AGGGTGTTGGTAATTGTACCGAAACTTGGTTGTGGCTTGTGGTGCCATTTGCTTTATCAACTTGCATGGCTTTTCTTCTCACGTTCTGAGCGCATGGCTGCAGCGGTAGAAACTTGGAGTGTGAGGCGTTGCTCAAGCATCGAGTGCTTTGTCTGGGGCCATAGGCGAGAGTCCGGATAACTGGGCACTTTGACGTTTTGATATTCTTTGTTTATCGGATGTATTTAAGCCGTTTGGTAGGTGCGAAAGAGGTTTTCATTCCTTTTAGAGAAATTCCGGGTTGGCTTTTTTTTTTAAAGATTGTTTTTACTAGCTACATTTCCATTTATTTTTTGCTACTATTTTCTATTTCTGTTTGGAGGTATGAGGTGTGAGATAATGGAGATGCATGATTCCTACCTGTCAGGGTAGCATGGACCAACCTTAGGTGGCTCCTGTGTGGCACAGCCTGTATGTGCTTGCTGCAGGCCACCAGCATTGTTCTCTCTTGCAGGGTCTCGGCTACTTGGAAAAACTTTCACTTGGGGACTCTGGTAACTGTAATAATTACAAGTTGCCATCCTTCTAGGTGAGAAAGATGGATCATCCTGTTTAAAAAAGAGGAAAGCTTTTTTTTGTTGTTTGTTTTGGGGTTTGCTTTTAATAACAAAACAAACCAAAGCTTGGTTCCTTTTTAGATGTGCATTGGCAGATGTTGAGCAGTAATTTGATATCAGCACATCAACATCTACCGTGGTATGTGTTGAAATCTTAAAACATTAAAAAGAGACAACAGAAGAGAAACACGCTATTGTTAATAAAATTGCACTTGAGGCTGATGGGTTGTAACAGGATTGTTGCCTTTCCTGAAGATAATTACAACAAACACTTAAATGAACTTCAGTCAAAATAGAGGTGTCCTTTTTCACACAGAACAAATAACTTGTTCTCCTCCAAAAGTAATGGTGAGCTAAATGCTTTTGTACTATTTTTTAATAGTAAGCTGCCCTTTACTAAAATTATTATTTTGTAATTAACCTTTAAAAATGACTTTTTGGTATCTAATAGAAATGAGATGCTTCCAGTGTTTGGGGATGACTCTCTTGAGATTGTTGCAAACTGATACATTTTTAGTAGCCCATTATTAAAAAAAATATTTAATTTTTTATTTAACTTGACGTGGTGATCCATCAGACAGGTTTATAGAAAGCTTCTCTTTAGGTTACTACTATTTATGCTTCCAAGTATATTGTGTGGAACTACTAGAGCTTAAAAGTCATTAAGAGCTTGTAAGATCACTTGTGTTCAGATTTTAGGTGGGAGATGTTTTTTGGATATGCAAGGGATGGGGAAGGCGAAAGAAAGGTGGCTGGCTGTGTTTGCCTGTAAGTAAGACAGACAAGTGGTGAACAGTGTCTGCTGCTCAGAGTGCTTAGGAATGAAAAACCTTCACAGGAGAGGAACTTCTTGACTGTTTTGGAAAGTTCGTGCCCTACAGTGTTGAGCATCAGCTGCACAAACAAAACATCTAGGAAGACTGCATGTGCTTTTCAGGATGAGATGAATAACTTAAATTTTTTTTCTGTATATGTAGGATAGAAGTTACCAGTTGTCAGAAGATGCCCATTAGCATTTTCAGAATTGGTATGTGTCACTTACAGTGGTATATTACAACAGCATTTTAATTAAGCTTTAATAGTATAAAGTATCATTTGTTAGGTACTTTCCAAACTGAACTGCACAGTTACTGAATTCGCTATTAAATTCTAGATGAATGCACATACGAATTTTCTGTGAAAGGTAAGTTGTGCTTCTGACACACTGCGGAGTGATTAATAGGTGATTATTCCCAACCCAGCTTTACCACTCCATAATAATAGTAAATATTAAAATTTAAAGCAGCATTCCTGGAATACATAAGCATAGCAGAATCTTAGCAGTAGTCAAAAGTCATATAGTCCAAATACGTATTTTGTAACTTTTTATTAAGATGGCAGCTGATTTGATTGATGTAAAGAAAGAAATTGGAACAGATTATTTTGTGGGAGCAAAGACAGTGCTCATGGGTTAATATATTTATTTTGAGATGGCTGCAAATAAGATTTAGTGGCTCAATAGGAAATTTATTGGGGTGTGTTTTGTGATTTGGGTTTTGGGGGGGGGGGGGGTGTTGGGTGTGTTTTGGTTTGGTTTTTGGTTTCTTTTTTTTTTTCCAGAAAGGGGAAGTTATCTTTTCTCTGCTACTTGAAGTTGGTTTAAGAGAGACAAAATTTTATACACTGGGAAAGAACAAAACAGTATGAGATATGACAAGGATCATAGTCTAAAGTCTGTAGGACATGGGTGCCGGGAGAGAGGCAGTGAATAGCTATAGGACTGCAATTGATCAGCTGATTAGTGTGGTCCACAGGTGTCATTTGATCTGCTTTATCTGTATGGGCAAAGATGGGATATTTTTTAAACTATTAGTTCAGCTGAGTTTGTATATTAATAATGGTATGTTTGCTGGGATATTTTTTTTTAAATGCATGTAACATGCTTGTTTAAAAAGATAGCAGCTGACTATGTTGGCCTGCATCTAAACAAGCATTAGAGTATTTTTTTTTAATTAAGATCTGCTCTATGCTTAGATTTTATACATATATATAGGGTATTTTTTTATTAACATAATTTTAACAGTATAATTGTTAATGTGGAGGTAGTCCTGCTCATGTAATATGTTGATACAAGTGTATGTTTTTTAATAATAGCATAAGTGATGGAGATGAGAATAAAAGGTGCTGGTGTAACGGTAATGTAATGTAAATGTCTCTGTATGCATTGGAAGAAAAAGAACTGATTATGTTAATTTAGTTTAAAAAGAATCCTATACCTTCTGTATATGTAGAAGGTTTGTTTTGACTCACCTGACACATGTGGGGAAGAATGCCCTTGCTTTCCGAGTCAGGATGGCCAAATTGACCTGTTCATTTTGAGCTTTCAGGAAGTACTTAGATCTGGTATAAAAACCTAATACATGTTCTAGGTTTGAGTAACGACATTTTTAGAGAGGGTGTGACTCTTATTTATCTACCTGAGGGCCATATGCCTCAAGGAAAAAACTACATTGTTCAGAGCTTCACTATAGCTAGCTCTTGTTGGAAGGCAAACATGAAGCTTGAATTTAGTGTCTCACTCTTATTTCACATTAGTGCTTTTGAATGTGTATGACGGTTGATGGTTTTGAATAAGAATGGAATAAATACCTTTTTTTTCCCTGCAGTGAGTCACTTCAGTTACCGCCATTTATATCCTTACTTTTTTTTTTTAAGGTGGCATTAAAGATGATTTGGATGAAAACTGATACTGGCTGTTGGGTCCTAAACCTGCATAGCTGACTGTATGAACACATCACACCTGTCGGTTCTTGACTATCCAGATCATGTGGCAAAATGGTTCATTTAAATCTGCTTCTCAAGTAGTACCTAAACAATTTACAAGAAGTAGAAACTAAGTAACTGTGTAAACAGCCTGTCCCCTGAAGTAACACTCTTCAGCTCATCCAGTCATTTAAATGTGGGAAAGGGCATGCTCTCAAGCCTGGCTTCACTGTTTGATGTTTCTTCCCTACCCCAGCTCCTCTTCTCTCTTTCAGGCCTCAGCCTTCAGGCATTCTTTCTTTCACCCTTTTTTACCTCTTCTGTGTATTGATTTCTGATGCGACTCTGGATCTGATAGTTCTTAGCTTGTGCTGCAGCTGGGCCAAAGAAGTTGTTAGTGATGCAGATTCATAGCAGCAACAGTAAGGGGGCAAAATGTCTCTTGAAATCTAAGTAGGCAAAATAATTGTCTTAAATGCTTTTTTTCCCCCTAAAAAGTCAAACTTAAGTTTGTGATCTTGTTTTGTTTGTTTTGTTTTGTTTCCCCATTCCTGCTGCTGCTGCTATGAAGCCTTTTGAATATCGAAGGTTCCTGAGTCAGACCGAAGACAGCAGTAGCTGAGGTGGATTAACGCTGGAATGTAGTCAGGGATTGGAACACTTGGGAGCTATGCTTAGACAGAAAGGGAAAGAGGTAAGAAATGTGAAGTGGTAAGACTGATTTTAAGCTCTCGTTCACAGACTTTACCCAATTGTGTAATGCCAGCATTTGTGCACAGTGTGTGTGAAGTGGTAAGGCAAAGGAGAAACAATTAGCATCAGCCTACTTCACTGACTATTTTTACACTTTAAATACGCAGATGCTAACCAGTTGGCGAGATCCCTTCAATATCTAATATATCTACTATCTGAGAAAGCATGTATTGGCAGAGGTTTGGATGAGCTTGTAAAAGTATTTGTATGGTCTCTTTTGTTTCATTGATTTGTTCTGCCACTTATATCAGCATGCAATGCAAGCAATGCATTTTACTAGTTAGGACACACTAAGGGATGCAGTTTCACTATTGGTTTAAATATATCTGTGTCTGTGCTGCCACTGAAAGGGGTGGTATGAGCCCTGCCACCTTACTCGTACCAGTCCTAGCACTTCTGTTTGGGTGGGTGAAGGAACTGCTCTGCCTGAAAAATACTCCTTTTCATTTGGATCATGTCTTTGCTCTGGCTGTTGACACAGTAGTGATGTCAGGAAAACATGACACAGAGGAGACTGGACTACCATTTTCACTTGCAGTCTAATCTGATTGCAGTTTCACAATCAGTGTAATCTAATCATAAATTATGTGTATATTGATTCCATGCTTTGTTCTTGCACATTTTACAGAGACTTCTATGCTGCTTTGTTTAATTATACAAATGTTTTTGTGAGCTTTGGATTGAAAATTTCAAGATGATTCTTGATTTAATTTAAATGGTAACTGCTAATTCATAAAGTGTGCTTATCTTTCCAAAATAATTTTTATTCTGGGATTGTTCATGCTTAGCTACAATCTCGATGAGGATTATTTTGGAATCGTAGAGCATATTCGTGCAGCCTTTTTTCCTGATCACTGAAGTGTGGATATCATGGTGTAAGCAAATAATATCCTTCGTGCTTCAGTGATCTCCAATCTCGATTTCAAATTTCAGCAAGATATGCAGGCTTCGTTACATTTCAAACTGAAATCTTTAAGAAATAGCCCTAAAAAAGTGAGGCTATCATATTGAGTATGTATATTACATATTGCACATATGTGGATGCATATAAACGTTTATCTTTGGAAATCTTGAACAGTCACAAAATACATTATTTAAGATGGCAGTAGGTGTGTAAGCCTACTTCTTGAGCTGCTGGTGCCTCTAATTTAAAATTTCCTATGCACGGAAGTATAGCATGCCCTAGAGAAAGGATGCAATTTAAAACTGCTTTTCAGAATGCAGTAGAGATTGCCACAATTGATGTGGTTTTTGTCATGTGTGTTTAAAAGACCCTTCTTTAGAAAGCATTCAAATTTAGCTAACAGCATTTTTTAACGTACTTAGGCCTATGTCATCAAAATAAGAAAGCCCGACAGAAATTCCCAGCAGACTGTAAGGTAGCAGATTATTCATCAAGAATAGAAATAAAGAGTTGTGGTTCCCAAAGCAATCGAAATTTACCCATTTTATATTTTATTTGGGGGCATAGAAATTACACAGTGTACAGAACTTTAGTAGTAAAAGTTGATAAGGAAATAGTTAAATCCCTTTCAGTTTTGCAGTTAGTGTACACACCCACCAGATGGAGCTTCTGGCACCAGTGGAAAATTCCAGAAATCAAGCAAGAATGAGAAGTGTGTGAATGACTTACAAGATCCCTGTCTGCTGGACTGCAGAAGATATTTTTTTAAACTTTAAATAAAAAATGAATGGCGAGTAAAACATCTCAGCCTTACTGATTCCTTTCACTAGAACTGTCTTCCATAGAATTTTTTCCTCTGATGGGAAGTTGGAGTTCTTAGTGCAAGAGTCACCAAGCTGAAGCTACACAGTAAAACAGTTTCATAAGCCCTTGCTGAAAATTGCATATAACCACTGAAACAGCATGTTAAGGTTTTTAGCCTAAGGATTTCCTCCAAAGGATTTTAAGTGTGGTTTGGTTTTGTTTTTTTTTTTTAATACCACATTTTAGATGGACTTATCTCCTCTCCTGAAGCAATGTTTACATAGGATGTCCAGAGAATTGGTGTGAAACAGTCCTTTTTGTTTGATACAACTTGAAATTTTTATGGAGGTAGCTGATTTAATCTCTGAAGTGATTTTTAATTTTTTTTTTTAATTCTTTTCCTGACAAAGGGACTTCTAAGAAATAGACTATTTGACTATGAGGGGGAGTTGGAGTGGTTTCATGTGAACAGTGCTGCAAGTTTTACAATGCTTTGACCAGATAGCAAAATATTTCTATTGATTTCCTTCAGTGCCAATAATCTTGGTTTTAAAACAACACATCAGGTGTTTCCAGAGGGTTTGATTTGGGTTTTCTGTTCACTTTATATCTTTTTAATGTGCCTGGTCCTGTTTTGGATATAGCCACAAGTTAAAGGACCTTGGATATAGAAACAAGTTAAAGGGCTTGGGGGCTTCTGCTTGCTGATGTGCTAGCTGAAGGTTGAATTGAAGTGCTGGATCTAACGTGGCAGCTGTGCACACAGAATTATTTAGCTGGAGTTGGGAGGTGTTTGCTAGACCGAAGTTAGCCAAAGACCGTCATGTTAGGGGCAGAAGCTTGGTGTTGCAGATGGTTGAGCTGATAAGGGTGAGGCAGCGCGGTCTGTTTAAAATGTTGCCATGAGAATAGAGCACATGCTGTTACAAAACAGCCTCCATCCTAGGATTATAGCAGACTTGAAAAATGAGCCCTTAGTTGTCTGGCATTTCGGATGTGCTGCTAAACCGCAAATCTCATTACCTTCACAGGAGATGTGGGTGCACAGCCCTCTGAAAACTAGGCCAGAAATGCTTAAATAAGGAGGAAAGAGAAGCAAAAATGCTTAATGTAAGTCAGTGATAGACATGTTGGGAGTAGACTGTTCACTCAGTGCAGGGAGGGGAGATGCTTAATTGCAACTCTTACCTTTTCAAGGAAGTTTTCGGTAGTTTCCAGTTCTTCCAACTTCTCTGTTCTCCTTGATGTTTCTGATCCTGGTATTTTTTTATTTGTTCACTCTTCCCCGAGATACCTTTCTGCTTCCTGACTATCACTCTTCCTTGCTCAGCTGTCCTGGAATTGTTAGGTCCCAGAGTCCCAGCCTCCACCTTGCTGCAGGGACAGGCCATCATTGTCTTCATGTGAATATAGAATATTATACACTATCATACTATATAGCATCATTTAACCTGCATACGTGAGGAGGCTGCTTTTCCATTGCTGTGGGAACCATAGGTTAATTTTCTTGCATATTTTACTTGTATTTTAAGAGAGTTCACTCAATGTTGCACTAACAGCCTTCTTTGCAAATCTATTTCATGGCTGGCTTTTTAGAGCATGCTATTAAATGCAGTTAGCTGGGGAAATTGTTAAAAGTAGACCTTATTTTAAATGCAGTTGGAATAGGGAGATAAAAAGTACAGTATCAAAAAACTAACAGTCTTGTTTCATTTCATCCAGGAACATATAGCTGCTGTCAGCTCTGATATATGCTGCTATGTTGCACTGTTATATGTAAACCAAGAACAACTTCAACTTTAAATACTAGCAAAATAAGGGCTAAAATAAAAGAATTCTGGATTATATAAAGTCAGAAAAATGCCAGATGCTTGGTGATTCTCATCAGCAACACAATGCAGGGAAATGATACTCAGTCTTCGGGAGGCCCAGTATGGGATGAAGTACTTCCCTGTGCTCAGTATTGATATCTTCAGACTGATACACTAATTGTCACTGATCTGCTCTCAAGGCTGATCGGTCCTCATCCAGAAGTGTGCTTTCTGCAATGAGGATTCAGTGGAAGAGAGGTAATTTGGACTTGATAGCGATACAGGGGCACAAATTCTACTTTCTAGTTAGAAAATAAGCCAGTATGAAACAAAATAACCTATCATCCTTACCAATTTGAAGATATGGCTAGTGGTCTTGTTAAAGCATACGCAGTTTTGCCTCAATGTGAAGTATTTTAATAATTTTGTCTTTTTAAATCTCTTAGAACATTTTAGTATCTTCTGTTGAAACCATACTTCATGAAGAAAAACAATCTGTACTTTAAGCTGTGGATGTTCTGCCTGAATAATCAACAGAGATTAAAATCTAACAATTTTAAACAGTAAACCCCCTTATTACTTGGAAAGTAATTGTACATGACACAACAAATTTTGCTTTTAGAAACTTTAGATTTGGTTGTTCCAGACTTCATGATACTAATGTTATGTCTTGTGTTTCCAGTCTGTTCAAGACTGAGTTTCTCTCCATGGGTGATGTGAGTTGAAGAGGTCTCAATTTTCCTACAGACGCATAATCATTTACATGCCATTACCCAAAACAGTTTACTTCACATCTTCCTACTAGCAGCATTGTAACTGAAAATTTAATCTGAATACTTCCCAAATGAATGGATGTCCCCAGGGTCGTGGCTGACAGCCATGTCACCTGTTTGATCTCCCATTGTCTTGTAATTTAAGGTGGGACTGTGTTTGTATGGGAACCTTCTGGGAAAAATGACCTGTACAAGGAAGCGCTGTTGGTATTTTACTGAATGTATCTTACTTACACAATGTGCAGTTATGCTGCTGGTACTAATACCTCAGATGAGGTGTAAACTGAGGTCCTAAACACTTCAGTTAGGAGTTGTGAATAGGAGCATTTGTCTCTGTATCCTGCTGGATTTCTGAATTGGGTAACTTAATTGAAATCTGAGCACTAAAATATTCCTCAGGTAGCATCACCCAGCGGAATCTGTTGTTTAATCCACAAACCTGCTAAAACTTCCTGCAGCACTGTTATCTTGCTGGAGTGCACTCTACAGTAGCTCCATGTCAGTAAAGGTACCGTAAATGTGGTTTATAATTAGCTTTGGAGTCCTTCGCAATGAAACGTACGTTATAAATGTAAGATTGCCCTTATTACATTTCTTATCTCTTGTCTTTAACACTTTGTTTTGTACAGCAGGATATGATCCTTCTTCTATGTCCGGGCTTTGGCCTCACACAGTAGGTGTAATATAATCCCTGAGGTGGGCGTTCTGGAAGGAGAATTATTTTTGGAGGCTTTTGCATGAAACTTGTCCAATGAGTCTGAGACGCCCAAGCACCATTAATTTTGGAGGTAAATGCCTCATAATACATACTGAATAGATTGGGAAGAGTTAAGATTTTCATTTGGCAAAGTATGGGCAAAAAGTAGTTGAAAGGATAGTTCTGACTGTTTACTTCTGACGTTTGGACATTTTGCACTTAAAGGAACACCAACTTGAACTCCAGAAAAATTGGGAGTGTGGGGGGCTTTGTACTCAATTGGTCTGGCAGCCTCACTGCATATTAATTAGTTTCCTGGTTCCCCCTCTTTTGGTTTACTAAAACCAACAGGGGCAAAAGTGAAGGATTATTTTGACTGCAAGAGAAACAACCAGACTGCCTGAAGTACCCTCTGATGCTGAAACAAACTGGGGAAAACCTGTGACTTGTGATACGGAAGTTCAAAGAGACATAATTTAAGTTGGCTGTCCCTTTAAGTTATTCCTTGGAATCTGACATTTCTTACTTGAATCTCAATTGAACTGTTTAATTTTGGAAGTTCAACTGAAATGTTTTTTATTAAGATATTTTCTATCATTTGTCTATGAATTGATCTGCCAAAGTGGGCTGAGATATGTATAAAGGGAGGGGAGGGAGGAATACGGTAGTTAACAACAGTGAAAAGATAAAGCCAAAGGGGGGAAAAACCCAAACCAACCAACCAAAAAAAAAAAACAACAAACAAACCTACAAATGAAAGAAAATATAACAATTAAGTCCCAAAAGAGTTTTTGGGGTTTTAAAAATGACATTTTAAATGTTGGTGCTTGCCTTGGGGGCGGGGGGGGGTATCATTTGCATGAAATATCATTTAGTTTAAATTTTATTCACGCTATTGTTATTGGAATGAAATCAGGTTACTGATAAGATTATAAAGATAATGTATGTTTAAAAAGTTAGTAAGTTGTTTGCTCTAGTAAACAACAGTAATGTAGTACTGGCATACAGCCAATGGAGAAATTAAAACTATTTTAAAGATTTACAGTGTCTGGGTTGCACTGATGATGTTGATCCTGGATTTTCATTGCTTTCTAATTTTAATGATAACTGTTATTGAGGAATATTTAATACTTAAAAACAGGCTGTCTAGTAGAGAGCTATCCTACACTTTTTAATGAAGTAATTTTTAGCATAATCTGAATTTTATGCACTAACTTGTTACCAAACTGCATGCATTTTTTTGATTATGCTGTTTCACTGCTGCAGCCCTTCCCTTTTAGTACTATTATGGATATTAATAAATTTGGGTTTGAATTACTGGAATGAAAACCATGGGATCATGATACATACCTAACAAAGGCAACAGACTAGAGTAGTGCGTTTAAGTGTGTGGGGCGGTATGTTATGTAGGGAAAAGGAACAGCTTTTAGAATAAGGGTTTGAAACATTGCTTTTTCTGTAGGAAAAAGATGGAGTATTGCATGCTGGGAACAAGTGCTTTCCATAAGGTAGCTAAATTTTAAAAGTACATTTGTTTCATTTTGTTTTAGGCTTTGCTTAAGTATTCTAATCTAGTAATTTTGTCCTTTCTGCAGTTTTCATTTTGATTAGACCTCTGCAAAACTCTCTTCTAAACAAAAATTCAAAAACAGACAAATAAAAATATCCAAACCTGGGCCACAACTGCAGTTTGACATTTCTGAAACATTGCTCAATGTGTACAAAAGAGTATTTAAAGGATACTAGTAATAGTATAAATTCTTTCTGTAGTCTGTTTAGTTTTCCATGATTTCAAAATTGCAGATATTAACGCCAGTAAATTTAAAGGTGTGAATGTGTCGGATGACTACAGAGAAATGACCAAAAGTAAAACAATTTGTTAAAAGGTAGTCTTCAATGACACCTCTTTCAAAACAAACCAAACCAAAAAGCCCCACTCATCAGGAATGCTGTCGTCAGAAACTCCAAGTAAATAGTCACATTCTTTTTTTCCTTTGTTCTTGTGAATAGCAAGACATAACATACTTGGAGGAGGTTTGAGTAGATGAGTCAGGACTTACTTCGTTAACTGCAGTTAAATGTTTTGGCCAGGTTTCCCGAGGAAACAAAGCTTATACAATTTTTCAGATTGTGGTTTGTCTCCTGTTCCTTGTTCCCTCCTCCCAGCCAAAAAAAAAGTTGGCCATTTTCAACCAAATTTGGTAGAAATGGAGGTCTGAAAGATAAATAAGCACTTTTAAGTCTCATTAAATGTAGATCTCCAGTAAGAGAAGAAACTAAGGTTTGAACATTCATAAGTTTCCTTCACAACTCTATCAGCCTGTTCCTTCAATTGGATGCAGCAATGCCAAGTGGCTGCTAAAGACTCGGTGGGAGGAGGAGTTGTAAGGGGGAGGGGAAAGAAATCCTACTGCTTAGGCCCGGGATTTTAGGGGGTTGACTTTTCAATGTTGGTTGTGCACCAACTGCAGAGGTGCCAGTTAGGTGTTGTGCCTGGAGCTGAACATAGCAACTTGCCTGTCATTATCTAATATGGAGCTTAGTGGAGGGTTATGAAAGAAAGAGAAGCAGCAGTAAATTATCTTGGCTTAGTATTCAAAGTATTCAGCTCCAAATGAGAGTTGTTGGTGCCTGACTGAGTGCATGTATAGTATATTATTCCATGGATACAATATTATTACAGGTACAGCAGCAGCTCATGATGCCCCGTAAAGCTTTTCTTTCCCAGAAAGAAAAGCAGGCTCGTGCCAGGGAAAGGGATATGTTAAAAAAGAGGAGGAGGCGACAAGACTATCTCAAAAGAAGCGTGGAGCCGCAGAAAAATGCAGAAACAATAAAATGGCACAGGGATGATGAGAAGAGGAGAGAAAATGAGCAAGTTAAGGACAAAGATATCAAGAAGCGGTGGAGACAGGATGAGAGAGAACGACGAAAGAATGTGGACGCTATGAATTGGCGCAGGGAAGATGAGAAGAGGGAAAATGAGCGAGGTAAGGACCAAGAAGGCCAAGAACCAGCAAAGAAAGGATGAGGAGGAGAGGGGGAAAGAGCGACGAAAGGATGGACCTTTTGAAGCAGCAGAGGGATGATGAGGGGGAGGGGAAAAGAGAGAGTAAGAACAGTTCCATTTTATAAGCATGTGCAGAAATAAAATATTAGTATGTTTTAGTTTCAAATTTATAGGAAATCTGCTTTAATGAACTATTGTTCTTACAGAGCTAATTGTTTTAATAAGATTGATCTGAGTATAGATGTATACAAACTCAAAGTCACAATGGGATAGAAAAGGCTGGGTTTACGCATTGCTTATAAAATTGTCTGTTTTATACACATGCTCACACCTAATACTTTCTTCAACAGTACAGTTGATAATACTGTGTTTCAGATCACCAAAAAGTTCAGGTTTTCTCAGTCTTCATAATATGAGTAAATGAGAGCAGTAGGAAAGGAAGGGTCAACCAAACGTGCTCATAAGAGAAGGTAAAACTGATGTTTTATTTTATTCTTTCTAATAATGTGCCCAAGATATAGTTGTAATTGCATCCCCAGTTTTATTCCAAGGTAAATTATTTAAGAGAAGTTGCATGGAAGTGTAAATTTCACAGAATGCTTTTAAGAAGCAGTCAGTTTGAGATGCACATTTCTGTGTCATTAGATCTGAGGTGTTGGCATCACATCAGTTGGCATCACATTTGATTTGATAAATTCAGCCAACACCTTGGCATCAAGTCTGAAAAACTGACAAACAGTAGATATTTACATTACAGTAGGAAGACCCCTTCTAAAGTTGCATTTTAATTAAATTTTATATAGGATTTTTTTATCTGGAGTTACAAAATTTTTTTTTGCAGCAGCCCTAAAACATTAATTGTAGGTTTATGAACTGGCAGTGGATTTATACCGGATGAGAGTCTAGTCCTTTGGACGTCCTTCTAGTCCATTTAGAAATTTGAGCCCTTAGAGTAAAAGGGGTGGTGTCTTTGCACACATGATGGTAGTTTGCTCCCATCTTTACAGCTGGGGATGTTGCAGCCCTTCTTGGAACACCTGCAGGGTGTTCACAGTAAACACTGAGGGGAAAGGGCTGTCACACTTAATCTTTGGTGAAATAGTGCCTCTTCTAAACAGTAGTAAAGAACTAGCTATCTGGAAATGAGAAACTGATTCAATTGTCTGCATCTTTTGGATTTTCTGTATTTAACATGTGTTTGGTTTAGGATTAAAGATCTACACTTTTTTTGTTTGGTTGGTTTTTTACTCCATGAAAGTGTTTTGGCACCCTTGTTTTGACTGATGGGTGATGATGAGGCAGCCTGGAAGGACATAGCCACAATAACAAAGAGAAGAACTGTGTGATTAATAAGACTGATAACTCCTATATGGCTGCATAGTGAATGTAGCTGAATAATTTTATTACTCAACAAAACCAAAATAGTCAACATAATATGCATGAAGTTTTTTTTAGTGCTGATCCTTTCAATTGACCCCCAAAATAAACTTACAGTGTTTAAGGGGTAGAGTGAGGGATAATTGTTGCTTATTATGAGTAGTAACTTTATGTATTTCATTGTGAGGGGAAAATGTTCTCAAAATGAGGTACCAGCTTTCCACCTTTGTGTTCCTGTGAGGTTTTCATTGTAGGCCTGGGGAATCAAAATTGATAAATGCATGTTAAAAAAAAAAAAATGCTTCCAGGAGCCTCATTTTTATTTCTATAACTTTTTTCTCTCTCCTTCATTCCTAATTTTCACTCAATACTCACTATGAAAGTTTAATTTTGTAGTTTTCCTTTTCTTGATTGACTGCTGCTTGTAACTGTTCTCAGCTCTGTGAACTTAGATGAACTTAGAACTATGTTCATAAAATTTTCAAAGAAAATAAATGGAGTAGCCAGATAGTTACCTTCCAATTATTCCTCTAGTATCATTAGCAATGTTGACATCATACTTTTCTTGTATGTTAAAAAAAAAAAAAAACCCCAAAAACCAAATTAAAAAAAATTCATGTATTTCACTGGCTTGGTTCTACCAGTGAACAGGTACTTCAGAAGAATCAGCGATCACTGTAAAGACCATTAGGATACTTAGCCTACTCATACAGGTTTGAGATGCCTGAATAAGACTAAAATGCAGTAAGGACTTAGGGGGGTTTTGTTTACAGCTTTTGGGGATTCCACAACTGTTTTGTACTTGCCATTTCAGTGATGCTTTTTACAAACCTTGTTGAGTGAAGACTTCTTCCTCCATGAAATGTTTAGGGTTGCCTACAATTTTGTGCTTGCTGGTCACGGAAGGCTTTCCTAATGGTACAAACTGACAGTGTGGTAGTCAGGAAATGGTGTAATTTTCAGTAAAGCATAAAGAGAAGAAAAGCTGGTGTAGGTTTTCTAGAAAACCTAGACTGGTGCTGTCTTGGTTCCTTTACACAGCAAGATTTTCCTCCAGATTATTTCTTTAGGTCTTTAAACTATTTCTGGATGAAAAACACTGTTTTACTAACAAGACTGTGACACTAGAAATATGTTATACTTGTTGCTTGTTAGAACTTTAACAAAGTTCAAACATGAAACAAGCATAGTAAGTACTTGGAATAATGTTGTCTAAAAATGAAAATAACATAATGAGGCAGATTTGGAATATTTGCTGAAGGTTTTAGATGAGAGGAAGAGGCTGTCTTGTTCTGAAACTGATGCATCTTTCCCAGAATCAGAATAGCATTGTTACCTTGTGGGTGCTTTGAAGCTGTACACTAGAAGATCCTCTGTTTCATTGTTCTAGATAAAGTTGGCAGAGCTGAAACAGTCTTAACAGCTGTTACCTGATGGTAGCAAAGGTAGCAGGCTGCAAAGCAGCTCTTCTAATGAGGTCCAAAATACAAAAGACCTACTGGAGAATTAAGATTTTGGTTACACTAAAATAGAAACAGTTATGGGGGTCTAAAGACAGGTGGAAGTTTACTCTTTTTTATCACCTCTGATAATTTGACAGATACGGGGGTTTGCTGGTTTTGCCTCTTGTGTTCTTTATCTCTCTCCTGGGTGCATACCTTCCTGTAAGGTCATAGTTCTCAACTTGTGAATACCGTGTGTTGTGAATGAGATCAGTATGTTCCTCATAAGGGAGGACTGTTTGCACTGAGAAAAATATGTAGCATAAGAAAATGTTAACTGTTGCAATACAGAACTCTCAAAACAGGCGTGCAGTATTGTATTTTACGTGAATTAATTTTCCAAACAATTGCACAGTGACCTTTTTTTAACTCATCTTTTGACTCAGTTTTCTAGGTGGTTCCAGTCCCTTGGTAACTGATGGGTTAAAGGGCTGAACTGCACGGCCATGTTAACTTGAGGTGCTTGGAGCTGGTACAGTGAGGATAGTTTTATTTTTATTAAATGCTAAAAGTGGTTTTAAAATCACTTAGAGTAACATAACAGGAGGATGTGTCAGACTTCACATTCTGGATGTTTTTAGAATAGTGACTGCAATTGTTTCCATCTGGAATTTGAAGTGCTAGTAAGAGTAGCAAGTTGGTGAAGAGGTAATTTGGAGTTGAAAATCACAGCAAGTTGTATCTAAATGCTAAAAACTGTTTAAAAGAAAAAGTGTTATGTTAAAATTTGGGCTTTGTTGAAACTTCTCTGTGACTATGTGGTGGTTAATTTTTGGGCTAGACCTTGTTTCCTTCCTGCTTTTTTGTCATGCCATAAAAATTAGAAGTCTTGATTTCCTGTGTCTTAGCATATTTGCACTGTTAAGTTCCTGAAACTAAGCAGAAATTATGGTTTTTTTCATGAATACTGTTCACACTAGTGCTCCTGGGACCATTTCAAGGTGTTACACAATTTTTTCCCCTGCTAGTATTTTTTTTTATCAACTATGGCTAACAAGATTAGAAGATTCAGCAGAGGGAAAAAGCCTTTTGCTGTGAAGCAATACTAACCTTGAAGTGAGGTCCCTTTTTATTACAGCAGTGAACCTGAATTCTTTGAAAACACTGAAGAAGCCTTTGATTTTAAACAAATGAGGCACAATGTTGTTGCCTCTGTTGGCCTGCAGTTTTACTTGCTTTCTAAAACTTGGACAATTATTAATTTAAATCAATCAGCCTATATTATGTCCTGGCCTGTTCCCATTTCAGGATGTGATTCTATTGAGTGAACTGAACTGCTGGTTCCTGTAGACTTCTCAAAGTTCAGAAGTCTTTGTAGTCATTTTATGCCCTAATTTTGAGGTTATAAGATGCACATATCAGAACTGCACTTAAATTCTTCTTTCCTGGGACTCTTGTAGCCTGTTAAAAGCCAAAGACAGCGCTTCAGTTCTCTCAAGCACAATACCATGTACACACTTTGTAGATGGTATTGAGTTTTTGAAGTCTCTTAACTGTCATTCCTCTACTTACCTTGCAAGTATTCCTTGCTCTTTCACAAAACCTTCCCTCCCTGTCCCCCCCCTTCAGATTTTTGGATGAAGATCTGAGAGTACTTCATTCAGGCCTTTTTGTTAATATGTGTGCACTAGCTAGGAAACTTGTCTTAGCTTTTTGTTCATGCTTTGCATAGTGGCTGTAACCCATAGCAGTGAATTAGTACTGCATGAAGTTTGTCTAAAATAGGTCTTTGCATCTCTAAAGTGTGACTCTGAAATGAAAACTGAAGTACAGTATTGCTAATGCAGTAATGATATTTTGCTCTTCTATAGCTTATCTTTTCTGCTAATGTTTCGCTACTGAATTATTCTAGGAATCAGTACCTGGCTGTGGACTAGACCTTTATGCTAGGTACTGCAAAAATACAGAGCAAAAGAAGTTCCAAATGCTACTTACACAGTTAGCCTGCTTACTTTACCATTATTTTGTGACTGGTACGGTCAGACATTTTATGTACAAGCACACTAAAGATGGGTGAGATCTTATTAAATCAGTCTAATTTTACAAAATTTCTTATAACTAGGTTAGTAATCCATTTTCTTAGGCACCTGAAGATACTACC